GTTTAGATAGGTGTTTTAGTAATAACCTTTGGTTAGAAAAATATTCCAACACTACTATCACTCATCTTCTTAGTACTCTGACCACAACCCTCTCCTTGTTAACCTCAACAATATGCCTACGGGAAGCTTCCAAAAGGACCTTAAGCTAGAAAATTATTGGTGCTCCCACACAAGCTTCGCTATTATAGTTCAAGAAAGTTGGTAGTACAATAACTTTATTGAGGCCTCTAGTAGATTTAGGGAGAAAGCTAGAAACTGGGCAAATGATACATTTGGGATATTTTGTCTAATAAAAAACGAGCCAGGATAAATGGCATCCAAATTTCTCCCCATTACCCTATTGGCTCCTTTCTTAGAAACCTTGAAATAAACCTCCTTGATGAATACCATAACCTTCTCAAATTAAAAAAAGATCACTGAAAATTAGATTGCGCATAAATGTGCTCAATCAAGGAGACGCTACTACTAAATTCTTCCACATTAGTGTCTTAAATAGAAGACGTACTAATATAATCAACTTCTTAAGAATGATGATGGGAACTGGATCAGTAATCAAAATCGAATCATAGACCATGCTGCTAATTACTTTGAACACCTCTTTCAAACAGGTCATGCCTATATGGGGCCCAACCCCAACACTCACCAACCCACGTCTTGAACATACCACTCACCAATACCTAGACCTCTCATCTTTGGATAGACCTCTCCAAACTCGTGAAATTATAAAGGTCGTTCGGTCTATGAAACCTTTTAAGTCACCTAGGCTGGATGACATCCATCCTTTCTTTTATCGAAGATATTGGAACCTTGTTAAAACCTCCATCCTTGAGTTTTGTCAAAATATTTTACCACCCAAACATTCCCTGACATTATTAACCATACCTACTTGTGCCTCATCCCAAAAATTTCCAATGCTAACGATCTTAAGAATTTTCGACCTATAGGATATGCAATACCATCTACAAAATAATCACCAAGATTATTGCTAATAGAATTAATTCATTCCTAGGCAAACTCATTATCCCTTTCCAATCGAGCTTCCTTAAGGCCAGACGAGCTAGTGACAATGCCATTATTATCGAGGAAATTATCAATCACTTTCCGAAAATAAAAGGCTCCAAAGGCAAGCTCCTAGTCAAAATCAACCTAGAAAAAGCTCTCAATAGATTGGAATGGTCTTTCATTTTTAGAGCACTCAATTTCATTAAATTCCCTCCTAAAATCTCTAAACTCATCATGACATGCATTTCCACTTCTAAAATAATTGTCTTGGTGAATGGCTCTAAGACTAATTTCTTTAATCCCCCACGAGGAATTACACAAGTAGATCAAATGTCCCCCTATTTATTTATCCTGAGTATGGAACTTCTTTCTATATATATATAAGCTACCAAGTGGACATTGTGTTTTGGGACCCTATTAAATTGAATCACTCCATCCCTCCCCTCTCTCACCTTTTTTACGGACGATATCACCTTAATGGCTAATGCTAATGAAAAATCTATCCACACAATCCACCATTGCCTTTTCTTTTCTTTTCTTTTTTAAAATTTTTAGGGAAAAACGTTAACTACTCTAAGTCTAAGATTATTTGCTCAAAAAATTGCAATCAGCTTTCTAAAAACCTTGAAACTAATATCTTAAACATAAATATTAGTGACAATTTTGGAAAGTATCTTGTCTTCCCCATTATCAATCGACACCCTAAGAATTTAGACTTTCGATACCTTATTGATAACTTGAATAATCGCTTTTCGAATTGGAAAACTAACTTTCTTTCTTTGGCAGGAAGAGCCACTTTAATTCAAATAATTCTAAATGCCCTCCCTAATCACACCATGCAATACATATTTCTACCACCCCTCATCTAAAACACGTTAATAAAATTCAAAGAGATTTTCTCTGGGCTTCTACCACTTCCTCTAGAAAAATTCATTATATAAAATGGGATATTGTTACCCTGCATAAACATAAAGGAGGTCTTGTAATCCATAAATCATCCTATAAGAATCAATCACTCTTAGCAAGTCTAGCATGGCGATTATTTATGCAACCCTCTTTTCTATGGTCATGTGTTCTCATTAGTAGCTATAGCAATCGCACCAAGGCTAAAAATTGCTCATTCATTTGGCGCAACATCCTAACTTGTTGGAATCTTTGCTCTAAAGGCATTGCTTGGAGTATTGGTAATGGCACTTGTATAGATTTTTGGAACTCAATTTGTCTTCCCAACAACTAATCCCTCCGCAGTATGGTTACTTGGCCCTTATCTCTTCAAGACGCACATCTGAAAGTTAGTGATGTGTAGAAGATCATCCATTGGGATATCTCCCAGATCTCTTTTGAACTACCTCAAATTGTTAGTAACCTTATCCAATTCATAGATCCAACCTTCAATAATAACCCAATAGATACTCATTTGTGGTTCTTAACCTCTGATGGATCATTTTCCACAAAATCAACAATATCCTTCTCCATTCAAATTGCAATGTAACAGGTTACTCCTCCTTCGATTGGATCTGGCAGCTTAATATCCTCAATAAAAAAAAGTATTTCCTATGGCAATGCATGCACTACAGACTTCCTACAAAATCTTACCTTAACCACATTGCCATGCAAATTGACCCCGTCATGCAATACACTTCTGGAACGATATTGGTCTAAATATAAACCTTCTAGACATCTTTAATATGCACTGGATGAATGCTCTAAGAGGGACAACTTCCTCTATCCTTCTTCATTCCTTAACCTGGGACGGATTTCTACCCTTAGCTCTTTGGATTTTTATGGAACAACGGAAACAATAACGTATTCAATCGGATCAACAAACTCCTCTCCGGTCATCTCGTCTATACACGAGCTTTAGAATATAAACATTGTGCCATCAATAATCCTAATGCCCTCCCAATTCCCTATAACCTAGATATACGTGTGCACCCTCCTCCTACTAACTCCATTAAATTGAATATTGATGGTGCCCACCTTAATAAACATATGAAAGGTGGTATTGGAGGAATTTTCAGAAACTCCCAAGGAGAATGGATTCTTGGATTTAGCAATGCTTCTTTTGGCCCTTCCCCTCTTTCTATGGAGCTTCAGGCCTTAAAATATGGCCTACAACTAGCAATGGAGAATAATTTGATACAGTTAGTAATTGAGACAGATGCACAAACATCATCGACCTTCTGGAATCAACATTTATAATCATCATAACAATATCATCTTTAAATACAGGTACTGGATGTAGAAGTTGGGGAATCCACTAATCCAACACATCTACCATGAAGGTAATCAGGTGGCACATGAACTAGCGAAACAGGCATCCATCCAGGCTAACGTTAACTACTCAGCTGTCTACATACATATGCCAGAATCACTGGAGGACCTAGTTCTATCGGATTCCAGTGGCACTACTACTACTAGAATTATGTACTAATGTCAATGTGTTAAATAATTTAGCGTTGTTGGATTCCCATGTTTATACTTGTTTAGCACCCACTAGCCTAGCAACCAGTAGTTCTCTATCTATTCTAGATCCTGGTCCGATGAGGATCCTCTTATGTAATAACTCTTAATGCGTTATTAATAATATTTCCTGTTTTAAAAAAAAATATGTATGATTGTTTTTTTTTTGGTTGAGTATTTAAATGATTGGTTCATAGGCAAAATATTAGTAGCATTTTGGTCCAAACTAGAATATATTAAACTTTCTGATATGTCTATTCATTCATATAATATTTATTTTACAAATTTTAATTAGATAAAAATGGACAAAATCAAATTTGTATAATTATAAAACTAATCAAAAAGCAAGATTAAGTTGGATTTGAATTAAGCACCACAAAAATTATATAGTGTTGGATTTAGTTTCAAAATTCTTTTGAATCGCAATACCTTAAAAATTACGAATATCAATCTCAAACCACTTTAAGAAATAAGAAAACTAATGCAAACACATACATTTCTTAGAATTCTGTTTAATATTTCAACTACATCGTGTGCATTAGATCCTTTTCTTATTTTAATTATGTAATATAATAATTTTATAAAATAAAAGTATACCAAAAATGAAAAAATTCACAGAGAGTAAGTAAAAATCTACTTATTATTTATTTTAAGTTTGATTTTTTCTTTGTATAAAATTATAATCAATTATGTTTATATTTTTAATTACCTTTGTAGAAATAAAAAATTAAAGTGAAAACAAACTAAGTAGGAAGCTATAACTAAAGTTGATAGTATCCATCGGCACTCCTTAAATTTTTTATTCTTAATTACGAATATAAAGTTGGTCAAAAAATTAAAACTAATTAATTTATATAATTTAATTATCTAAGTAAAATAAAAAGTAGAGAAAATTTCTTGTGAAAAATTATGTATTGTCTTCGAATACAATAGTTTCATTACCTTTTAATAGAAGATTCATACTATAAAATTTATGTACCAAAATATAGAACATTATAATAAATACTATAATTAGATATAAATTATTTTAATATTTATAATTAGTATTGTCATGCCCCAAATCTGATGAGGCGTGGCCAGTGTAGACATGTGATTTTTGACCCTCCCCAAGATTTTTCACATTTTAGCATGTAAATGTTTAGTTTAGGCCTAATATCGCTATTTCAACTAATTTTGACTCTTTTACTTTATTTTATTACAAGAAAATGACAATTACCAAAAAAGGTTTCACTAATGTTTTCTAGTCATTTTTAATCTTGAAAAATACAAAAAACAGTTTTGTTTTAACGGTCAGTCTTATTTTAATAGTTATTTTACTTAAGTAGGATTAATTAATAAATGAGATCGTATTTTTAGTCTTGTTTGCAGGGAAAGAATAAACTTGGGCTCAAATGACCCATTTTTAGGCCTAATTTTCGGATCTAGCTCATAATTTCCAAGCCCATAAATCCTAGGCTCATACCCCTAACTTAAAAAAACCCTGTAAAACAAACAAGAACCCTAAAATATACGCCTAGACCTAACGCCTAATACACAGACGTAGGGAGCCGCTTTTCTTCTGGTTTTGACTAACCTAGAGACAAAAATAAAAGAGGTGATTTTCTCTAACTTTTATGGGGAATCAGCGGATTTTGACAAGATCAAACCCACCCCCCTGATCGATCATCCTCTTCTATAAAGAAGAAGTAGCCATTTTCGATGGTTGCTGCTGAACACCAAACGACCAGACCCCCATGAGCTTCTTCTTCATGAAGCTCTAAGACAAAACCTAGATCTAGAAGACCTATTCACCCCTTCCAGCCATCTCTCTCTTTTTCTATCTCACCCCATCGCCGGCGACGGTTGCTGCTTTCCCGTCCCCGCCTTCTTCCCCCTCTACTATCACTGTTCCGCCGGAGTCGCACCCCCGGAGTCGCACCCTCGATGATTAACGAACAAGATGCTGCAATTTTCTTAGTATAGCAGCATGTTTATCAGTAATGTTGCTAAGGTTTAAAGCTCCAAAACCCAGCAAAAGCAGTCAAAAAAACGTGCCCTCCTCAACCCGAGTCCCAACCTTTTTCCCGTTTCGCGAGAGTTTTCAAGAGGTCCTGCTTGAGGTCTTTTCGTTGAGTTCTAGCGTATGTGTTGGTGATTACAAATAAGTTCTTGAAACTGTTGAGATTTCGGGTAAACTCAGAGGCCGCCGGTGAAGTTCCGTCAACCGTTTCGACTGTGGTCTAGTCTTCCTTCTAAAGTTTGGTTGCTAATTTTGGATTTCCATCTCGTCTGTTGGCTGTTTCGTGTAAGATTTAATTGGAAATTCTTATTAATACATCAGAGAGGATCTTTGTTGCTCGAGGTCCAATTCTAAACTCTTGTTCGTTCTTTAATTTTCAAATTGTATTTTGGTCAGTGTTTATTATAATAGTTGTTTGCCTTTGTGTTTGATCTTGTCTTCTTTGAGGAATTGATGTTGCTCATACTAATGGCTGACCATGTTATTTAATTATGTGTCTAGTAAAGAAATCCATTATCTGAAAGCATCTTGATTTTCATGATCTATTAGTTTAGTTAAAAGCAACAATCGAATCGTGTGAGGGCTAATGGAAATTATTTGAGGTTTGGGATGTTGTTGGGTTACGAGATTTGATAAAAAAAACTTACTTGGAATGTTTAACAGAATTGTATGCTTTTGGGCTTAGAAAATTCTTCAACTCTCATCTTTGTTTGTTTAATTGTCCACCGTAGCTTGCTTTAGGCGCGATTATTAAATAAATCATGGTGACTATGGGTAGGGTTTCCGTGATGTAGTTGTGATTGCTAAAATTCGGGTGTACAATTCATGTGACCCGGTTCCAATTTCCAACAATATTAAATATTCATGTGATCCGGTTCCAATTTCCAACAATGTTAAATAAAGCGATGTCGTGAACCGCGGGTGCATTTCATGCAGCGTGGCTTACGATGTGTTTTAAATAACCTTGATTTTTCCTAAAAATACTAAAAGCGGTTTTAAAGTTAAAAAATGCACATAGGTTTAAAAATATTTTAAAATCAGATAATTAGGCCAATAATAATAGTTGAGCGACCGTGCTGGAACCACGGAACCCGGGAATGCCTAACACCTTCTCCCTGGTTAACAGAATTCCTTACTCGGATTTCTGTGTTCGTGGACCATAATTAGAGTCAAATTTTCCTCGATTCGGGATTCTAAACCGGTGACTTAGAACACCATAAATTATCCCAAGTTGCGACTCTGAATAAATAAATAAATCCCATTTCGATTATCACTTTAATTGGAAAAAACTCTCTATACCCTTTCCGGGATAGTGAAAAGGAGGTGTGACTGCTCTGACGACTCTGCTGAGGACAAGAACCCAAAACTTCTGGTTCAGGGTTCAAGAATTCGAGCTTAGAATAATTGTTATATTTGGCTTTATTTATTACTGGTTTTATTTTCATGTTTGAGCCTAATGTGCTAAATGTCATTTTTACCGCTTTGATATCGTTGAACTATATATAAATTATTACGAATCCCTCCTCTCTCTGAGTCTTCTAAATCATCTGGGAAGGGTGTACTTAGTGTAGCTTCTCTTCTGTTAGAGTCATATCCCAATTTTAGAATGAGGTTCGGACAAGTTGCAAAGCCGGTGAAGCTTCTGTATTCCCGGTACGCTGCCCCTCTCCCCCCAGCTCAAGCTGTCGACTCGGGTAAGCCAGGTCTAGAACAAATAAACCCAGGTTTTTAAACCTTGTATAACATAGCCTCATGCCGGATTCCTAGTAGGAACGTTTGTTTGCATCACATGCATTTGACTTTGGGGACGCAACACAGGGGTTGGGTCCGTTTAGGACAGGTGTACCCAAAAATAAAAGACCATCCTGATGCATCCTAATGTGCTACATGTTGCATTTCTTCAAGGGTAAAAGGGTCATTTGGCGGACCAATGATATTTGAGGGCAAATGAAAAGAGTAAAAAACAGAGGGTGAAGTATGAAAATAAAGCAAGTAGGGCCCAATTATATTTTCTGTCACATTTTTGTTAAGAAAAAAAGAACTTGAAAAAATTCAAAAGAAGATTTTTCACTTTTTCATTATTTTCCGAAAATAAAAGAAAAGGAAAAGAAAATCCAAAAAGATTTTACATATGTTTCATCATTTTTTCAAAACAAAAGACAAAAATATTTTTTCTCTAAATTAGTTGTTATTTTATTTCTCGCTCGTATCCAATTTGCCCGAACTACGCGAACCTGATTCTCGTCTCTCGGGGCGGGATACGTAGGCAACCCACATAAGGTCTGATTTTCCTAATAAATCTCAAGTTCTTGGCTTTGCGGGGTCTTAGCCAAATTCTTGCATTTTAGCCATTTTTAACCACATAGGTTAATTTTAGAAAAATAGTCACAATCATGTCTTGCAGGAAGGGCTATTGTCTCACATAACGTTCTAGGTCTTTAACTTATTTGGTTTTAATTTTCTCATATAGGTGTGGATTTACTTACTGGAGTTTGAGCATGATAGACGCCCTACGACCATCCAGTCAGGATCGATCATTCAGGAGTTTGGTTAAGGAGATTTTTTTTAGTTATTATGTTTTGAGTCTATTGTTTTTTTTATGTCATCTTTTACCTTTTAATTTTGTACAGTAATATCGAGTCTTTTATTATTGTATTTCCTATTTTGCGTTTTATATTTCTGTTAGATGTTTTCGTTATAACACTAACTCTAGAAGTTCAAAAAAAAAAACTTTTGTGGTTTTCTTTAGGAAATTAATATTTAGAACTTAAAATAAAAAATTTCTCTTATACTTCCATTTAGTACATTAAGTCTAAAACTTCAAAAAAAAGAGAATTTTCTTTTAGTACCTTTTAAAAAGTTTTCTTTAAGGTATTAATTCCAAAAATCCAAAAAAAATTTCTTTTGGGGTGCTTCTTTGGGAAATTAATGAAAAATGAAAAAAACAACTTCTTCTTATTTTCATTAGAACTTTAGGATATTGTAAATAGAAGAAAAAAAATACTTTATATTTGGTTTATCTTCAGTGTTTCTCCCTTAGACAATCAAACTGAAATCCAAAAATATTTTTTATCTTTTTCATTTCTTGGTTCGAAATCTTTTTTTAAGGATAACAAACGAAAATTTAAATATTTTTCTTTGGTTTATTCTTTAGATTTCTTCCTAAAAAAAGGAATCAAAAAATATTTTTCTCTTATAATGTTTTTTTTTCCTTAATAATTTCTCATAGAGTATTTATTTCAAAAAAGAAAAAGGTGAAAAAATATAGGCTCGTTAAGCTTGAGTTTAGAATAGGTTATAGAACATTAAGTCTAGAAAATTCAAAAAAAAGGGGGGTTGCTTCTTTTATTTCTCTTTTCTCATCAGAGTAGTTATTAAGGTAAAAAAGTAAAGAAAAAAAAGAGAACGTTAATTTTTTTACTTTATTCTCAATCTTTCCGAACTACGCAAAAATCTGATTCATGCGGCATCATGATACGCAGGCAACCTACATAGAGTTCGATCAAATTATTTTTTATTATTAAAAGAAAAAGAAAAAGAAAAAAAGAAAAAAGAAAAAAGAAAAAAAGAGAGGATGAAGTTGTGGGATGTGAAAAAAGAGAGGAAAAAAAGGGAGATGAATTATAGGATGTGAGAAATGAGAAAAAAAAAGAGTGATAATTAGAAGAAAAAAGAGGAAGGAAAATGAGCAAGCCAAGCAGTGCTAGAAAAGAAACGAAAAGAGAAGATTGAAATGAACAAATTAGGATGATGCCAAGTGACCTTGTGACCCTCGAAGTCATTCTTGAACTGTTAATTGTTGCTAGGTGCATTGCATGTAATGTGATATTTTTAGCTGTTAAATGCCCTAACGCTAACATGTTAACTTCATTTTGCTCCTCTTTGTTATCCTCATTATAGCAGAAGGATAGTTGGTTTGTGGTTCTTAAGGTAACTCATCAATACAACACAAGGTCAAAGAGCAAAGTAGTCATGACTAGAAAAGACCTGGACACAAGAGTTGTTGACCCGTCGAGGGAGTTTGTGGAGTCGGAGTCTGAATTGAAAGAGGAGGTCCAAAGGTTGAAATAGTAGATGATAGAAATGTATCAGTCTTGGATCAGGGGGCATCCTCCACCTTCATTCCCCGCTAACTACACTGAAAACCCTGTAACTATCCCACCACTTTCATAAATCCAGCTCCATGCTGCTGCTGATATCTACCTGCAATATTTTCACACTCCACCCGCTAAACCACCTCATATCCCGCTCCTTTGGCCACTCATGCTTTTGTAGCTCCTCCACCAGTTGTTTTTCCTCGATCCTCTAACGAGACTGTGTTCAAAGTCCTCGATGCCCAACACTATGCTCCAGAACCAACTTTTCACGCTCTTAATTTTGAGCCTCCCGGTGAAACAGAAAAGCCTGCTAAGACAGTGGAGCAAGATGAGATATCCAGAAAGCTGAAAGGATTTAAGATGCCAAAGTTTAATTTGTATGATGAGCGTGAAGATCCAGAAGCCCATCTGAGGGGTTATTGCAATGAAATGAGAAGTGTTGGTGAGAAATATGAGTTGCTGATAGCGGATTTCAGTGAGAGCCTGACTGGGGTAGCTTTAGAATGGCATACTCGTCAAGATGTCGGTAAATGGCATACATGGCTCAAGATTTTGTGCGACACTTTTAGTACAATATAGACGTTGTCCCAGACCGCTCCTCCCTAACTTAGATGGAAAGGAAACCCAAGGAAAGTTTTAGGGAATTTTGGTTTAGATGGAACGAACAAGTTGCTCGGGACAGTCCTCCCAATGATAGAAAAGATGTTGTTGAGCCCCGCCAACGATAGGATCTAGTGGGAATTCTTGCTAAAAGCATTCAGCCTCAATACCGACACCATGAACATCCCCAAACTCCACATAATCCACCCCAGTATTATCTTCCAAACAAAATCCGACCATCTGCCCAATCACTGGGTCATTCCTCATGGCGAGCGCCAGCACTGTATAATGCACTTTTGCCTTTACAGCATTTTCGAGCATCCAACAACCCTAGAAAACTGGGGCATGGAGGGAAACAAAGGCAAATAAATAGTTTCATGCTAATCGGAGAATCCTATATAAGCCTGTTTGGAAAGTTAAAACATTCTGGCCTGATTGAGCTGCTCCTCGGCTATACGTCGGACCTATATGCAAAAGGTTTTGATCCTACTGTACGGTGCATGTACCACTCTAATGTCCAAGGTCATAACATTGAAGATTGTCGTGCTTTGAAAAAGAAAATAGAAAGAATGATTCAAGAAGGGATAATTGTGATCTAGGACAGTAACACCCAACATATCGCGCATAATCCTTTACCTACACATGATAATGCACACTTTGTGGGGATGATGCATGGTGATAGGGAGCATGAGAGTTATCTTGGGAACTTTCTCACTGAAGTCAATATGATTGAAATTGGTAGTGGTATTGGTAATATTGATGTGGAACTCAGTGGCTACGACGTGTAGCTTGGTAATTGGAAAGACGCTCCCTTCTTGGTTACCCAGGGAAGAGTCTTGGTGATTTGTTTTGTTGTCATTTATGTTGTCTAGGTTATTTCAGGGTTGTAATCCAGATATTGTCTTGTGACTCAGACCCTTCTATCCTTTTATTTTGCCTATTTCATTTAGTTGTAGTCCCCCTTTTAGTGTTATTTAGGTTTTTTCCAGGGTCGTAACCCCAGTGTGTTTTGTTGTTCAAACCCTTTCACTGTTTGCATAATGCAATTTTATCTTTTATGTTATTTCTAGTCATTTTTGTTTAGTTCTCTTTTCTTTTTATAGTTATTTTCATGTTGTCTCTAATGACATGACGTGCACGCATAATTCTAGGCCCAGTCTTAAAAGTTAGTTTAATCATGAAGCAATGAAATAATTTTGAAGATGATAGGGACACTTGAGGGAAATAAGTACAGATTTGGACATTTTGAGATCATTTGAAGCCCGAACCATGTGAAACTGAGGAAGATAGTTTGGAAAGTTAATGGGACGACAAGAATTTGTTACAAGAGAGTGCGACCTAACAATTTGAAGTAAGTAATTTTGAGTTCAAATACACCTCAAATTACAAGATAAAGTCAAGGGAGTTTGCTCCGAACAGTCGGAGGGTATCCATCTTGAAGAAGAAATCACCCAATGAGAGTTCTGTACTTGACAAGGCACTAAAGAAAGGTGGAACGCATATCTGTGATACCAACGCCAATGCTGCAAACGAAATGCTATGCATGGTCTTCATTTTTCATCTTCAGGTTGTATGTGTTACACTTAGTATTCTTAGAGATTGGGAGGCCCTCTTTCTGTTATCTAAACACTTTATTCTTTGTTACACCTTTTGAGCCTTATTTGTTTCATTTCATACCTCTCTTTTGGAATCAGTAGCAAAGTTCAGAAACAAGGATATAGAAGATAAATAAAGAAGAGAAAGAGAGGAAAAAGAGAAGACGAAAACATAAAAGAAATTGAAAAAAGGTAAGAAAAGCAAAAGAAAGAAAAGAAAAGAGAAGAAAAAAGAGAGAGAAAAATAGAGATAAAGAAGAAAAAGGAAAAAGAAAAAAAGGAAAAAACGTAGAAAAAAGAAAAAAAGAAAAAAAAGGGAAAAGGAAAATAGTAACAAAAGTAGTTTTGTGAACTACGTTTGACCTGATTCTTGTCACCACAAGATACGTAGGCAGCCTTACGGTTCGGTCATACCAAATAAAATATTTTATAATCCCACAAAGTCGAAAGTGGGACAGTCTTTCTTAGTAACTTCATCAAAAGGAAAAGAAAAAAAATCAAATTCCCTTGTTTTAGAAATTGGGGCAAAGTTTTTAGAATGGATTCAAAAAGTTGTAAATAAATTAACCCCGTTATCTTAGTTATTTTGAGCCTTTATGATATCCTTTCTTTCTAACCTTGTCAAAAAGCCATATTACAGTCCAAAAAAGACCTCCCAGATAATCTTTGAGAGTGTCGAGTCAGACATGCTAGGAGCATATGATATTTTTACCATGGTTAATGCCTTGTCATCTGCAAAATCAGAGGAAATAAGAAAAAAAGAACAAAATTAGAGAGTCTTATTGGTGAAAACTTTCACAGGCACCATAAGGCGATAGTGAGTTGAGAGAATGAACGAAATGAGAGAGGCTTGATGGTGAAAACCCTTCGGGCACTACAAGTCGAATAAGGGTCATGAATAAGGTTGGATAATCGAAGCATTGAAGCCCAGTTTCACGGTTTAGGGGTATAACAAGAGTTGAACATCAGACTTGCTTGATAGATTAGGCCAAATAATCCAAATGTTCATGTCATGGTCGTTAGAGTTGGTATCCACATCTGATAAGTTTCTACTTTCTAGTTTTCTTGTTAGAAATCGTCTCTTTCCATTGCCTTTTACTCTGTTCCTTTTGTCTTGTTTACTTCCTCTTCTTGAGTCTGTTTGGTCAGAACGAGTGAGAAATGACTTCAAAATCTGCCACCAGCTTTCTAATTGCACAAAACGGGGTCTGGCTAGCATATCAAAGTGGCATAAGTTAGGGAAAAAACAGCATGCGCACTGAGTTGGTAACAATCAACGTGCATTGGGATTCATATGAAATACAAAGGTTCGGTATATGTTAATTCATGAACAATGCAACAGATAGAAGGTGTTGGGTTTGAA